CCCCAAAACCCCAAAACCCCTAAATACCAAATAATTAAATCTTTGGAATTATGAAATTAAGATTAAGCTCAATTTATTATATTTTCCTGAATATGTTTTTTCATAAGAATTATACTTCCTTTTGTAATTACTTTTTACCTCTCCTACTCTGGTTATTAAAGGTGTCCAATTATTCTATGGGCTCTTCAATGATAATTCCCATTTAATTTTTATTCCTTATTTGGTCATCATCCTCTAATTCATTCTTAATAGTAATATCCTCTATAGTCTTCCCAGGAGTCTTGAATTCTTCATCATTTAAGCTATTTAATGCATTTAAACTCTTAGGTTTTTTCTTAAGTGGTCTCTTTTTCTTATTAATTACTTGTATCCTTTTCTCTTCTAACTAGTCAAACTAATCTTATTTATGCTTGGTGTGATCATTGATTTCCTTGTCAAGCTTTTCTTCACCATCTCGAAGGTTTTTCTTAGTTTTGATCTCCTATTCTTTATACCTGTCTAACTCCTTTTACTTCAAATTTTAAATCTCATTAACTTTGAATAAAGGATGGCCAGACTGATCCAAATAGTTTCCTCCATTGACAGATTCCAAAGTGTCTAACTATGCATCCTGATCTATTCTTTCATAAGAGTCGGCAAAGGTCTAAACAGAAGTTAATTAGTGTTAAGCTTACTCCTTAGATTGATCCATCATTTTTGGTATTATCAGAAGAGAATACGTTCTGAGAGACATCATTCTGACTCGTTGTGAATTGATACTGTAGAGCACCTATAGCTACCTTATTCATTCTCATTTTATGTAATGGGGGTTTTTTTATTCCGAATCTCATCATATAGAAAAATGCACTAATTTTAAACCATCCCAGTATAATGAAAGTAACATTTATCATTAGTATACCACCAAATATTGTCCCAATTGCAATCCAAGCTATTTCAAAAGTTAAGAGTATTAATCTCACCAATCATAGACTTATCGGATCCATAGTCAGAAAATAGCAAACACTCAAAATTTAATATGCCAATCAAGAGTTCTGTGCCTATAACGATTGCATTCGTTATTGTTTGTTTAAAAGATCTAAACACTAGCAAGTATACAATAACCTATAGATAAATAAATTTATAAGTGTTTACAGCTGCGCATAGGAACGCCTATATCACTAATGGTCCTAGTGTATACTTTACCAAAACAGCTAAAATGATTGATGAGGCAAGTCTTCTTGTAATTAAGAAAGGTATACAGATCTAAAGAAGAAAAGAATAATTTTTCACATTTTTGTAGAGAAAACTGTATTTATCTATGAGCAAAGAATGACCTCTATATTTATAGTGAAGAACCACTACCAACCAAGAGCACAACCAGACTAAAAACAACATAAATGCTATGAAGAAGCTCACTACTAATGAGTACATTTAGTATTCATTTTTAGTTGTCATAGTCCTTATTTCAAGAAATGTTGTAACACTCATTGGATAGCAAAATATGAATGTCATTAGTAGTGGCCCACTAAAGAAGTACTATTTAGCTATATATTTATTGAACCATAGCAACCTTTTTTGGCTAATACACTGAGTAAAAATGAAGTCTATAATCAGAACTAGAGGCATGAAAAAGAAGTAAATGTATAGCGAATAAATTTTAATGCTATTGTTAAGAAGAAAACCCAGCATTTCGACTTCTCCAAGGAAGTAAAAGTTATTGTTAAAGATTCTTTTGAAATAATAGGATACTTCTATCCAATTATTTTGGATAAAGTAATTTTGAAGTTTAGTATGCTCGAGTCTGAAGATTCTAAAAAATGAAAAGAAATAGCTAGTCTTTTAGTCGAGATATAGATCCTAACATCCGATGTAAAATATTTGTTAAAAGGCTAAGAGTACGAATACTGCTGGTAATACTGACTTCTTAGTAAATTCAGCTATTGTCATCCAAAAAGCTATTGCTGAGAATACAAAGCCTAATGAGAGTTTCCCATAAAGTTCGGCATCTGATCTCTCTATCTCAGGGAAGAATTTATAAGTGTAAAGCCAAACTCGAGCATATGTTGATTTTTTAACTTCTTTCTTGTTGATATCTATTATAGTCTTAGTATTTTAGTACTCTATCCTCATTATTTGATCATAATATGCACCACCTATTACATCATCCTTAAATATAGTGTAGAGATACAAATAATTTGACGGAAGATTGAATAGTTTGACCTTATAATCGATATCTTTAAAATTGCCAGTTGAATCTCTAATAAATAACCTTAGATCTTTAATTGTCAAAGTTCCACTCGTTAGATTTATAGGTCTACTAAAGTTAAGTATGACATCATTAAACTCATTTACATATGCCCCAACAAGTTCTGTTGGTATGTAGAGACAAGTATCTTTTTTGTTTGGATCACCACCAAAACATTAGTATCCATCTTCTGGGATACATTGGCTAGAACATCCATCTCCATCCTTCGTATTCCCATCATCACATCCAGTCAGACTAAATCTATAGCCATCACCACAAGTTTCGACGCACATACCATTTGTCCCTACCATCATTGCATTGTTCCAGAATGATTCACATTTTTCACAATTCTATTCGGTTGTAAGATATCTACCGATTGGACATGAAGTGCATAATGGTGATTTGAATTCACAAGTTCTACATAAACTATAGCATTATGTACAGTTCATTTTAGCCCAATCCCAATAATACCCATCGATACAACCTTATGGGTCTTGGGGAAGTTCAGGCTTTAAAAGTTTAGTTTTGTCATAGTTGCATATTCTATTTTCATCATCCTTCTCATAATTTTCAGGGCATTTGTACTCGCATTTTCCCTTATATACTTTATAAGCCCCATCAGCACACATATCGCAATTAAGGTTTAAAATGTCGGTGCAGACTGCACACCTCTCATCACATTTCATGCATAGATCTCCACCTCCCATTGTGATTGTACCAAGAGAACAAATGCAAGTTATTCTATCTGCATTTTTTATTGTGGCTACATCAGTAGTTGCTGTTTTAGTATAATCTTTGTGAAAAAGGGATGTTTAGTTGCAAAGATAGCAATCAGAACTAGTTGCAGCTGATTTGCAATATCTACAACCATCATGACATTCTGTGCATGAGGTACCACTTATGTAGTATCCAAAATCATAGCAATTGTAGAAACAATTATAAGTACCTGCAGTCACTCCTGTCTCATCTGTATCACAGAACGTACAACCCGTAGCTCCTTTCTTTACACATTTTGTCGAGTCTACATTTATCCATAGACTTTTATCATTTAAACAGTAAGGCCTTGCATTCATCTTGGTTTTTCTTACAATTCCTGGAAAATTATTGGCTATGTGAATTTCATGAGTTTAATCTGGCTAGAATATATACCAGTCAAAAATCCTTGTTGTCAACACACTTATGTTATCTAAAAATACCTGAATTCTAGTTTCTCTTTCAAATAATCTAGTATAGCTTACAGCCACGTAATGCCAGTAATCAGTAGTTTCATTGAAAAGATAGTGTAAATCATGAATTGTATCATCTATATAAATACGTAGAAATGTGTTAGATATTCCAAATCCAAGTCTATAATCTTTTGCAGTATTGTCATAGAGAGCAAACACCTGGGAGATATATCCATCTGGTCTTAGATCAATAGGATCAAGTCTAAACCATGCTTCCATTGTAAACATAGCTGGAAAGAATGATATCCAACTAGTCGCAGTCACTCTACTTAATGTGCACTTAAAATAATTAGTCTCATTCGTTGTGATCTAAAAATAAATTATTGCAATTGAATGAGAAATACCCTTCCAATGCTTGGCTAATAAAATGGCTTGTATGTCTTGGTATCCGTAGATAAATCAATATTGCAAGTGTAATAAGAGCTTGCAGGCGATTTTACTATATTGCTGGCAAGAGTAGCAGTTGAGCTGTCGAATATTAGCATTTGAGTCGCAGTTATTGCAAATGTATTATCAAGATATTTTACAGTTCCGAATCTATTGTTACAGAATCTGTGAGTTCCAGTACAATCTATATAACCTGTGATTGCTGTTTCTCTTGCTGTCGAGCTAGTCCACACACTTGAGCTAGAAGTCCACAGTTCAGCATACTAGATCCATCCACGCATACATAAGCCATATACAGATTCATCAGGAATTGCTGTGTCGTAAGTGATATAATCTTTACAACCAAAAACTACAACAACATCTTTACTTACTTCATCATCCTCTGATTCAGAGTAGAAGCCTCGAAAGAATGTGTAGTATTTTGAATAGTAAGGAGAAGCAGTTGTATATTCTGATCTATGATACATATTTACATATGAGAACTCGTATATATGACTAACATCGATAGCTATATAATTCCATCCAGCTCTTACTTATAAGGTAGTAGTCTTCTCTTTAAGTGCTACTACCACTTCATTGTCAACTAATCTCATTTCGATGTAAATGTATCCATCTCCCTATACTCCTATAGATAAAAAGTTAAAGTCACTGTCTGTGACATCTGACGGTCCATCCCTCTCCTGAATAGTGAACAGCACAAAGCTATCAGTACTGCAAGTGTAAAACCACATATGATAAAAGAAATCAGGATGATTGATAAATTATGTTCCTGTGTGGTCATGGAATGATCTTTGACCAGCATATTACATTCCAAAATTTGGGTCAACATAGACTTGAAATCTGTCTTAAGATGTATCGGCATAGGAATTAGCTATAAGTGAATTTATTGAAAAAGTTTGATACAATATTAGAGATCCCAAGTTCCAATGCTATTTGAATTTACTATCCTGTTATTGGTTCCATCATAAGTAGTGAAATCGTATTTGAATCCTGGAAATTTTAATGGGAATGAGTTTTACTTAGTGTTGATTATGAAAAAAGAAAATCGATAAGCAATGCCACTGATATAGCCAGTATCTATGCCTACCATCGTTTCTACATTAGTGTCATTTTAAATTATAAAAAAATATAGATTTCATCATATAACAAACATTTACATTCAACATTAATTGTAGGGGTTTTGGGGTTTTGGGGTTTTGGGG